CCCCCCCCCCCCCTCCTAAAGAGTTGCATTGCACTAGTATACATCCAAGGGAGTTAAATGTGTCTTCGACAATAAAAACAAAAACAGGCTACTGTAGTGGCATCATTTCAAACAGCGCGCCTAAAAAGAAACTGAAACTAGTAGAGTAGACTACTTTTAAACCAGTGCACATCGAGCAATTAAAAAACGAATATACACATTCGCGTACTTTAATTAGCAAGCTGGTTTTGATTTTCACCTTCCATAAAGTTATCTAAACATGTAACACGCCAGAACTACAAGTAGTAAGTAGGAGGAGATCGAATGACATCATCAACTACTACATAACTTTAAACAGACTGTACTGCAAAGCAGCTAAACGCCTCCAAAAGTTACTCGAAGCTCTAATGCACTTCCACACGACTATGAATAGTCCGCAAATCGCGCTAAAGTTGTTATGCTTGTTATTATGACTGCACCAATTTAGAGTTTTCAGTTCCGACAAGTGTAAAAACGCAGACGCCGAGCGAAAGTTAGCACTGCAACCCAAACAAACCGCACTGTGTTCATTCCAAACACCGTAGACTCCTATAAAAGAACAGTCACGCGCATTGTAACGAGAGCTGAACTCACCGCGATCAGAGTGCTGCTCCTCTGCTCGGTGGTCGCGGTTGAATCGGGCTCTTGTTGCTTGCTCTGCTGTTTGCTGTTGCTGGATTTTTTGGCCCGCTGCTCTAAACTCCGCTGGTACAGACTCAACGTCTCCCGGCGATCCAGCTCCAGCTGCTCGGCGTGCGCTTGCTGGTATCGGCTCTCGCAGCTGACGTGGTGCCGCCGGCAGCCCTCGATCCGCTGCCGGAGCCGCTCCACCACCGTGCTGTGCTTCGGTATGCCCACGTTACCGCCGCCGCCGGTGCTGCTGTTGGTTGCATTAATGGCAGAGTTTAAGTTCACGTTACTGTTATTAATGCAAATGCCGCCGCCGGTCGGTACGGCAGCGGGGCTGGCAAAATCCCCCATCATCTGTGATTCGGGAAGAACTTTGTCAAGCCCCCCTGACTCTCTCTCCCCTCTCCAAAGCGGGGCAGAAGTCCGCTTCGCCAGGGAGGCAGATACAGTGAAATTGGGGAGAAAGAAGCGTTTAAATGAGTGTTAATCCCTCCTCCGGGAGGATCGCCGTGTCAACCACTCAATAGACAACAGTGCGGGACCGTGGAGGAGCGAGAGAGGCGACCGGGTCTGTTACTCTCTCGCCTCTACTGGAGCTCCATCAAACATCCGGATGTTACTCGCAACCATCACGCATAAGCACCGCTGCTGCGAGCCCGTCGTTTTATTGTGTTGTCCTTTTGAAAAAAGTTTTGCCGTCTGCTGCGATCAGGCTCCGGAGTTGTTTCGTGAACTTGCATTTCATTAGTTTGGACGGCGAAACCCTCCCCGAGCGCGAACAAGGTGTGCAGTTTCTTAAAGTCCCGATGGCTGGAGAGGAAATCCTACAGTCGCCAATGTGTACAGCAGCTGCCACCATCACAATAATCAAGCGCTCCCCTCCTCCATGCTAGCGGAGTGATATCAGGACAACAGCCGAGCGAAGAGCAGCCACCAGCCTGCGAGCAGCACGTCAGCTCCGCGCAAAACACGGCGCGGAATATAGTGCGCTGGACGCGGAGTCAATATTGACTTCAGAAGCGGTGTACGATAGAGCGGTGTAATGCTTTACCGGCGGGTTGGGGTACTGCATCTGATACTCCAGAGTTCATGAGAGTACAAAACACTGTCGTCGGACTGTGAGGTATTACAGGGAAACATATTTACACTATATATACATACCCAAAATGTAATAAAATATGTTAGAAAAATGTTTTTTAAAATACAATATTAATTAAAAAATAATTTCAAATAACATAAATAAAAATGAAAATATTTTTATGTTTAATAATAATAATAATAATAGTAATATACATAAGCCTATATATTTTAGGTTTTAATTGAAAAAATGGGAAAAGGGTAGTAATAATAATAATAACTTAAAAACTAAGGTTCGTTTTAGGTTCAGGAGCTAGTGGTTCTTTGGAGTTTAAAAGTTACATTGCAGGTTCTCCTCATCAGTGTATTGGTTTCTGTGTTCTTTAACGTACAACATAGATGGTTTTCTAAAGAACTGGAAAAGAAACTTTAAGAACCTATGACACCTGACTGTAAAACTGTTGTTTTTTTTTAAAGGGGTCATCTGATGCTACATGCACTTTTACAAGTTGTTTGAACTGAAATGTGTGTTGGCAGTGTCAAATCGCCTTTCCTAATAATGTGCTAATTAGCAAGTTTCACGATGAATGCGGCTAAAGTAAACAGTCCCTCAGAGAGCAGCTCCGAAGAGAGGGGCGGGGTCAGCAGAGCTCATTAACATTTAAAGGAAAATGCTACAAAACTGCATGCTCTGAAAAGAGCTGTTTTTGACAGGGTAAAAAAGGTGTTTTTTACACTACCACTGAGAAATTTTAACCAAGCTATGTAACAGACTTTTCATTAAGACCCTAAAGAATCATATCAACCTGTGGAAAATGGGCATCCTATGGCCCCTTTAAGACGAAGTGTGTAATGCAAAACAGTTATTTAGCTTATATTGTTTATTTATTTATTTGTTTGTTTGTTTTTGTTATGCCCCTTTCCTTTCCTAAACAATATAAATGATTAAAAAAAACACCTTGTTGTCCACGTGTTTGCTGATACAGGAAATGTGTTTTTGAGGAACATACACGTGTGCTAGTTTTCACTAGATTTATTTTCATAGTTATTTTTAAAGTTATAGCCCTTGCTCTTGTTGCTTGTGCGCAGAAGATAATACACACGTCTTAAAACGTGACAGAGGAAAGTAACAGGATCAGGTGAGGCCCTGAAGCACTGGCTGCAGTCAGTAAATGATGATAAGGCGGCTGACCAGTTTTGTAGGTGTGCGTGTGTATGAGTGTGTGTGAGTACACATTCATTCTTACTCGCTCTCTCTCTCTCTCCCTCTCTCTCTCTCTCTCTCTGTCTATCTCGCACATTTACACAGATATAGTCAAGGCCAAAAGTTTGAGAACACCCTATATTTTGCTGTGACTATTCTGGAACTGTTTCTCTGGGCCATCAAGATCAGCCTTTCTCCTATTTTAATTGTATATAATAAAGTGTGCCAGACAGACTCTTTAAATTTTTTTGTAATTATCTTTGCTCTAACTAGCAGGTATGCAAGATCTTTTTCATATATTTTAAAAATTCAGTCTTAGATGAGAACAATGGCCTGAGAATGTTTACTGAATACTTGAATTGGCTGAACAGTGGTGCAAAATTAAAGTTTTTTTTAATTAAGTAATTATAAATATGGTATCACAGTTAAATGATATGGTCTCACTCTTATTTGTTTTATCTGATGCACAAACAGAACAACTAATTTCAGAACTTTTTTTTTTTTTTTGGGGTACTGCATTAAAGGAAAGTGCACTGAAAATTAAATCAGAAGAACAGTGTGTTTATGTGAAGATTCTTGTTGGTGAAGAATAATACATGAGATGGCCCAGGAACCAAATGTTTATTTGCCCTCTTGTGTCCATCAAGGAAACGAGTGAGCAAAGTGTTTTTGGTGTAAATCTCTGCCTCACGGAGCAATTCTTGGAAGAAAAAAAAACAGTCAGACTATTACTTTCAAAATTCTAAGAATATAAACAACACATCCACCCAGGTTTGGGACTCTCTGTACTTTCTGGAATGGTTGATACTGACACTAGTAGTTCGAACTGCCCTTTTAGTGTTTGTGCTACTGGTTTGTTTTTCTTCTAGATCTTTTACTTGGTTTAACAGTTACAGAACTCAATCAGATCTGAACAAACAGGTGTGTCAAACAGTTCACCTTATCTGAAATGTGCTTTACAGCATTGCGCTTATAATAGACACAGAGCGTAACTTCTGTAAACATGCATTTTCTCTAAAGTTTGTAATTAAAAAGCAGGTTGTTACTTGTGTCACGTACAAACAATTCAACAACTCTTACCAACAATTACTTTTGTTATGTAACATTTACACAGTAACAAAGAGTTATATGCAATTGTTGAAATAGAGCTGTTTGATCACCAGTAATATTTTATGAATATGTAGAAACACTGGAGGCAACACAACAAAAGCAAAGTGCAGTGATGTTGTTGTTGTTGTTTAAAGGCATATATTTAGAATCTCTAATGGATTTCCAGCTGTAACATTTATGAATCACTCTACAAATATAAAATGTGACCCCTAAGCGTTTCTCCTCCCACAACACTTGTTAATATTTTTACTCCTAATCTATTTCCCTCTTCTTGAATCTATGTAAATATCTTCGACTTTGATTACTTCAATTACATACACTTTCGTTCAAAAATATAGGGGTCAGTAAGGTTTTTTTTTTAAAGAAAATTCATACTTTTTTGCAGCAAGGAGGTATTACATTGATAAAAAGTGACAGTAAAGACGTGTATAATGTTACAAAAACAAAATCAAATAAATGCTGTTCTTCTGAACCTTCTATTTATCAAGAATCTAGAAAAAAATTGTTTTCACAAAAATAATATGAAATGTTTCTTGAGCAGCAAATCAGCATATTAATGCTTTCTGAAGGATCATGTGACACTGAAGACTGGAGTAATGGCTGCTGAAAATACAGCTTTACCATCACAGGAGTAAATTAGATGTTAACATATATTCAAATAGAAAAGTTATTTTAAACAGCAACAACATTTTAAAGGGGTCATCTGATGCTACATGCACTTTTACAAGTAGTTTGAACTGAAATGTGTGTTGGCAGTGTGTGTACACAACCACCCTAAAATTATAAAAATCCACCCAGTGTTTTTTTTTAATCTACTAAAATCTTTACCCCTTTCTCAAATCGAGCCGATGTCAGATGCCACCATTGAGAAATTTTAACCAAACTATGTAACAGACTTTTCATTAGGACCCTAAAGAACCATATCAACTTGTGGAAAATGGGCATCGGCTGACCCCTTTAAAATATTAGTGGTTTGGCATAATTTTAGATCTAAAAAATGTAGCCTTTGCTGAGAGTGTGTGTGTGTGTGTGTGTGTGTGTGTGTGTGTGTGTGTTAGGAGTGAGGGGGATCTCTGACTCATTCCCTTGGTATTCAAAAAAAGGATCCGATCTCTCAAGAAGAAGAATTAATGAGAGTTTTTAGGACAAGAGGTTGGAGGACAAAAGGGAAAGGTATGTGCACAAGGGAGAAAACTGCAAAGACAAATTACAAGAAGAAAGAGAGAAGAGAAGCCCTGGCAGGTGAGCTGGCAGTATGCGGTGTGCCGTGGATCAGTGGAAATGCTCCCAGTCACGCATCCAACATGCAGTTTCTTAATGTACAGAGGGAGGGAGGTGTGTGGGTGTCCTAATTTCTACACAGTCATGATTCCACACTGTCTGCTTCGCCTTGTATTAAACCGCATAAACACATTTCATTACACCAAATACACAAAATAATGTTCTTTTTAGCAGCATCATATGACCCCTTTAAATCATGACACTTCTCACAGGTCTTAAAATCCTTAAAGATACAACGAGTGCATTTTACATTTACAAAGGTGCACTCTGTAATTTTTTTCTTCATGTTGATATGTCAATTGGTCGATATGTCAGTTGTCTTGGACCTTGACACCTAGTGGTGTGGACGCAGCATTATGCAAAAGCAAACCATTTAATTGTGGAAATGTGATATCAGCAGTCAGCAATAAGTAATAATTCCATGTGCCAAAAATATTTGGCTGGTCATGTGATCTGAACATGTAAGCCTCCATGACACAACCAATTTCATGTAAAAGAAAACGGCTTTTATTGGGCCGCTGTTGTTACTGGAGTCTTCAGAGTGCTTATCAATTTTTAACACTTTTTTTTTTTTTTTTACAATTTATTTATATACATAAATATACATCTTGTAACACTTAATTATATGCCAAACTGTTATTGTAAATCTGCCATAAAGTGCAAACAAACAAATAAATAAACAAACAAATGCTGTGGCTTTTATACATTTTTTGTTTATTGAATTAATGATTTAAATAAATATGCATCTTGTAACACCATTGTAATTATATCCTAAACTGTGTAAACAAATTCATTCATTCATTCGTTCATTCATTTATATTGTAACAACACTATAATTATACACCAAATTGTAAATCTGTCATAAAGTGAAAATAAATAAATAAATAAATGCTTTGTTTTTAATATATTCATTTACACATATTGTAACACCACTAATCATATTAATAACTATTATTTTATTCATTATGTTATCATAAATGAAGTGCAAGCAAGCAAGCAAACAAACAAACAAATAAAAGCTAAAACATTTAAATCTATAAAGGGGCATTCAAGACTTCAAATAAAAAAAATTATGATTTAAAGGTCACATAAGGCTGTGTGCATTTTACTGTGGACTGACTGTTTTGAAACTTATATGGTAGTTAAATAGCCCCTAGACCTCAGTTATCGTGAAAAAGCCAGGAAATTTCAGTTTTGACAATATGGGACCTTTAAATGCAGAGTATATTGTCTGGTACACATTTGAATAAACAAATATGACAATTTTAAGTCTAAAATTAGCATAAAACCATATCTTCTTGCAGGCATGAGTCAACCATGAAAAGAAGTGTTACCAACAAAATCAATGTATTATATATATTTTCCTGCAGCTTGTGTTATAGTAAA